TATGTATATATTCGCGTTCCAAAAAATTCCCAGACTTTCCAGTTCACAACTTTGTAAAAAATTGAAACTTTCCTCAGATGTCCCCACTTCCTGGAAGTGTCACTGTTTAAAATGTTCTCCTGCTCAGCGTCCTCACCAAGACAAATGTACAGGGACGCTCACACATGTCTGAGACACAAACTGACACGTAGTTTGTCCCACGTGGCTCCCGGTACACTTCCACCAACACAAAGACGCACACACACACTGACACACAAGGTGCTGACTGCAGCATGTTTGTCTCTGCCCCACGCACGCGATCTTCATCAATTCTGGTGGCCCCAAGACGACTGCGCGCACCGCCGTCCCCATGCATCACGCCCAAACCTGCCTCGCTATCGGAGAGAAGCCGCAAATTTGTCAAAAGGAAGAGGAAAAGGCTCCTCACATGACAATAAAGCCCGGCCAATATTTCATGAAAATGAAGTGCTCTGGCACAGTTTACAGTGGCCGCGGAGGGAGAGGGAGGGGGAGCCAAACGAATGGATGCAAAGCTCTTATCATGTGGAGTTTTTCTGTATCCGAGATGCGATTTACAAGAAGGTCACAGGAGGCTGTGGCGCATCAGGGGCCACGGATCAGGACACAGAGAGTGAAGGCAAACAAATGTTCCCACTTTCCTGTCCAAACTCCCACGCTTCTCAAAACAGTCCAAAAACGTCACCTCATGATCCAAAAAAGGTCCTGATTTTACAAACATCTGATTACTCATTACAAAAGGTCGTGACTTTTTTAAAAGCATTGTTAATGAGTGGCGCCAAAGTTTCTTTCAAAACTAAGTCCCGTCTTTCCACACAATGCCTCTTTCTAAAGAGTACTCACTCCTGAAACTACGTTCAGACTTTGTTGAGCAAATTATCTATTTACAGTTCAAGTCTCAGTTAACTCAAAGGTCATTTTACTCCATATAACCCTGATGCAAAGCAGTAAAACACATTTTTCTCTTATTCTTTCGTACCGGTGAACAGGGAGACGATGGCCTCAGTCCTTCTGCTTCAGGCTTGACCTTTGACCTTTTGGTGTTCATGGGGTCAACTGTGCTGCTGACGGCCGAGTCGCCTCTGTGGTTCTGAGGAGGGGAAAGATTCAGGATCAGACACCTTTAGATGTTATGCAAGAACATCTAGAACGGATTTAAATGAATTGAAGTAAAAGTTTATCTCCAGTAAAAATCCTGTTACTCCTGCACAATAATCATATTTTTACAGGAGGGTTACTGTAACCTAAAGTTCAAGATGTACGGAAGCCCGTGGAGGACAATATTACTATTTTGAGTGATTTATCTGCTGTTCTCCTTCTGTTTGTGTATATATATTATGTTATTTATTTTATTTTTTGTTTGTTTTAATATGTAATTTTCTTACTTTCTAACTTAATACTTTTTCTTACTGTATTTATTTATTTATTGTTTTTATGCTGTTTTACATGTGATACTGGGTTATATAAATAACAGTAACTTACTTTAAGTGCATTTAAGTTGAAATTTAACATTTTTTGCATTAATATGGTGTCACCCTGTGGAGTAGATTTAATATTATTTATATGAAATAGTGACAACAACAACAACAACAAGCAACCAAGACAAAACCCCACTAGAACAAAAATTAAACTATGCAAACATTTCTATATTTATCATAGAGTAATTCATATTCTCAGCTGAAAAACTCTCTAAAAAAGGCAAATCCAATTCAAAATATAACACAAGGCAAATCACCGGCCCCTGTTCCCTTCTGCAGGATCTACACGATGCCCTTCCTAACCTCTCACACAAACATCTGTAATCTGAGCCAGACTCCGAGATTAAACGACCAGATTAGACAGAGAAACCAAGTGTTGGAGTAGAGAAATGATGGGTTTCCCCCCGAGAGTTTACCTCCAAGGGGGACACTGCGAGCATGTGCGGAGGCTGACACCGCAAATAAAAACACTGAGAGCGCCGTGACCCGGTGAGCGAGCGGAGGGCGGGATGATGACAAACAAAATCTACAGTGAGAACAAACAGCTGGAAACCGGAGCTGCAAAATTCAGGGTTCGGCTAAACAGTTATTTCAGCAGCTGGCATGGAGAAAAATACCTGGGGAACAAAAAGGGGGAATTTCCTGCAACCGCACAGAAATCAGAGGCTTCAATCATCCAGAAAGCTTCGAGTACACAAAACTCTGTCAGCTTACAGCTGTCTTAAACTTATATTATTTTCTCTGTTTATTTAAACTCAAACCAGACAAAACTGTCTTTTGTTTGAAGAACTTTAAATACTGATTCAAATATACGAGGCAGATGTTTACAGTCTTGTTTTTTAAAACGGCAAAAGAAATAAAAATGTATAAGAAATCTACAATATCCAGTAATGACAGTATTCAGATGTCGGTGTGTTTATGACTTCCACCTAAGAAGCTGTCATACTGTAAGAATAAACATTTTACTTCTGCTTAGTCAAAATAGAAAATTAACAACAGCCTTATAAGAATGTGTCAACAGAGCTGATGTTACTGAACCAGTGAAAATGTGCTTAAAAAATGACTTTTATAGAAGGAAAATGCAGCGACTACCTATGGGGCGCCGTTTGTAAAGTGAAACATGCTGAAATTAACGGCAACATTTTTCCACATTTAGCTCAAAACCTTACAAAAACATATTTTTTCGAGTAAATTTTTACAACATTTAGTAAAATATTTGGTAACTTTTCATCAAATGTTAAATATTAAATCTAAATGTTAAATATTAAATCGAAATATTATATTTAAATCTAAATGTTAAATGTTAAACCTAAATGTTAAACCCCATAACTACCAGAAACTGAGTACAAAAATGAAAAAATAATAATCCTTACTAGCAACAAATAAAAAGAGTTTAATGCTGAAAATCAACAAAAAATAGAAATTAGATTATTACTTCTGAAAAATGAATCCAGAACCAGGTCCTATGTGACAAGTTAAACAAAAAAGAACAAGTAGGGCTCTTTTAGCAATTTTTTTTTTTAAATCTTTAAAAAGCATTTTTTCTTTAAAAGAGGTGGAAAACCAAAAGCTCTCATTCACTTTAAGATTATTTGAACTTGTTTCTAACAGAAACTGCTGCTAAATTCTGTCCAAATCAATATGACAGCATCTTCTATAGACACATATAAATATGTGAAGACTATGGAAAATATATTGAAAAGGAAAAAAACTGAATCAAGTTACGGAAAAAAATTTTTTTGACTAAATTCTCAGCTTTGAGCATTCCTCAGAAATGTGGATGTGTTTAATTTTAGTCACACACCAGTTAATCAATCAATCAATAATTCAATCAAGCCATCTGTGAAGCAGAACTCCATAAAAGGTCCAGAGCACGTGGAGCGCAGACATCAAATAGCATCCACACAATACAAAAATCATTTCTAACCTGCACCCTGATACTAACCTGAACCTAAAATTATCAGCAAATATGACTTTGTGTAGAAACTAAATGAATTAATAAAATCACTTGCAGTACTTCTAAAATAAAGTGCACTGGTTCTTACATTTATCCCTGTGTGATACCATATTTGATGGTTTTAAAGGTACAGAACAGCTTCCTTTAGCACAAACTCCTCTTTCATTTCTGTAAATTAGTTTTTTTCTCCTGTACAGGACATGACAGAGCACACAGGAAAGCAGGACGGCGAGGGGCAATGAAATGGAGAAAATGATGCGAAGTGGAATCAAACCCTTGCCCCTTTACCTTGGATACCAGGTCGCTGTTGTGGGTGGAGGCAGGAAGCGAGGAGAGGCCGAGGGCCCCCTGGCGGGTGGTGAAGGTGGGCGGCGGCTGGATGAGGGGCGGAGTGTGGCCGAAGGCGCTGAGGCCTCGCTGCTGGGAGAGGAGCTGCTGGTAGGCCATGGGATTGATGGGGTGAGGGAAGGGGAAGGACGGGCTGCAAGAGGAAATTTTTGTATAAAGGATTTTTGTATAAAAGAGAATCTCAGTGGTAAACATAAAACTTGATACTTATATTTACAATGAATAAATTAAACTTTGGTTTACTGTGCAGTTAACCTCCATTCTTTAATTATTTGAGGAAATAAAATTAAAAACGAAAATCAGAAAGAAAGAAGAAAAAACTTTGTGGCTTTTCCCTTCTGCAACATAACAACCAATCAGGAGAGAGAGAGAGAAAATCAGACACCTGAGCTGGAATAAACCTGTTCAGTCTGAGAAGGCGATCAAACACTGCAAGGGTTCAGTGATTGAGATAAAGAATCACAACTTGTCTCATGGGAAGGTTTAAGTTCAGTGGAACTGAACCTTTGAGTGACAGATCCAGGTGTTACGTTATCTGACATCAGTGTGGGTGCGGATACCTGAGCCCGCCGACCGACAGGTGTCCGTAGGAGCTGCTGGCGGCCGAGCTGGAGCGTGAATTGTTGATGTATGCCACCAGGGAGTTGGGCGAGGTGCGGATCATCGTCTGGAGGTCGATGCTGGCGTCGGACAGCGGCGAGATAGACAGCGCCCTTTTCCTGCTGAGCCGCGGTGTCAGTCTGGGGCTTGAGAACCGCGACACTGTGGATGACACACAGGTGGGTGAACAGGTGATATTATCCATCACACTGGTAACATGTAGGTTAGCAGTGAGAGGAGTCTAAAGGAAAGACTCTTAAATCTAACGAGTCACTCTCCACCTGAATGCAGTCTACTTAGAATCAGCCTGTGTCTGCTGTTTGTGCTATTTTGGGGTGGAGGCATTAAAGCGGTGAGGGTGGAAGTGCATGCTTGCTGTGATGGATGCTGCTGCAGCATCGCTGTGACACCCAAAACCCTGCGGACTCACAACAGCCCTATCAATAAGTGCTCACAGCGAATATAGTAAACTATCTCTTCACTGACACAAACAGAGCCTGGCAGATATTACTGTAGATATTAGACAATAAACTCAAGCCTCAAGGATGCAGGAATTGCACTGTAGAAGCAATCGTCTGGAATAAGTGACCTACATCCGACTGGATCTGTCCCAGTGACACAAATTTTAAATGGAGAAGGGTCGAGGGGGTTAGTTGTTGTTTGATTGCACAACACTGAGAAGAATCACCATGTTTTCAGGGTATTTTGCTTTACAACTCCCTACTTTCCTAAAATAAGTGAAGAACAGTTTCAGTGGAGGGAGAATTCAAATAGTTGCAGGCTGGGTTTCAGTTTGTCTTTACATAGGGAATAAAGTATAACACTGATGACACCTGGCTTTAACAGTTATGCATGCTGATGCTGATTTGCATAACATTATATGAAAACTGTCTTCACTGTACAGTCTAAGTCAGCGGTCCCCAACCCCGGGGGACCGCTACCAGTCTGTGAGTCGTTTGATACCGGGCCGCGAGAGTTGAGGCTCGGGTGTGAAATGTATGGGGGTTTTTTTATCGTTATTTTTGTTAATCATTTTTTTTTATTAACTCGGTTTCCCTGGGTCTTTTCCCATGTGTTATGAATAAATCTTCTGTTTTTATGGTACCAATACTGGCTTTATTTTGTTGTATTTATCCGCAACACCTTAAAGGTGAAAATATTGTCGGACATAAACCGGTCCGCTAATGTCCGCTAGAGGTGGGCTCCAAAACGTAAAATGTCCAACTTAATTTCTTTAGTTCCAGCAGAAATAAATGTGTTTACAGCTTAATACAAAAAACATTTTAGCCTATGTAGTTAATTTGCCCTCATGACAACTATACAGGGGAATAATTTTTTTTTATAATTCACCTATTTAAATTGCATTAAGGCTGTCATGTTTAGGCTGTGTGCAGGCAGGATGAGGACCAAAACGCAAGCTCACGGAGGCAGGAATGAACTCAAAACACAGTTTTATTGCTGACGGAAGTTAAGGCGATACAAAATAATATGAAACTAAACTGTGAAGTCATAAAGGAACTGACTCACGAGGAAACACACGGAGGGGCACACAGTCATGAGGGCGACACAGACATAAATACACAGAGGGTTAACGAGGGAAGTGGGAGCACACGGGGAACACAGCTGACAGATAATCGTAATAAGACAGGGCAGGAGTGAACACAACATGACGCATACTGACAAGAGACTGTCAAAGTAAAACAGGAAGTACACAGAGGTTCAGACAGGAGGAGAGAGAGAGCACGGGGAGAGCACAGACATAACGGGCTGGGGAAAACACAAGGAGGGGAAACGAGGGCTCACAGATACACAGAGGGGCACACAGGGGGTAATCAAATAAGGAACATCTTAACAGAACAACCTAGGAACCACGGCATAAATAAAGAACAAAATACAAAACACACGAAAACTAAGAATACTGGGCCAACATGTCCCAGGACCATGACATCGGCATTATTAGAGGTCGTGCCGCCTTGACTGACAGGGGCTTTAGCTGCTAACTCTCTGCTATGTTCCTGAATGGACCTCTAGACCAAGTTTAAAAGGATTTGTTTAATTTTGGTAATAAATAAAATCAGCTCATCAGCATACAGTTATAGGCTGCGATCAGTTTGTTCCTTCTGGTGCACTTTTCATATGATCATCTGACAGATAATATGGCTTATTGTGTGGTTATTGTACTAACAGACCATCCCTCCAGTTTTAGTAAAATTCTGATTTTATTTGGCTTTTAATTAGCAAGAATCGGTGTCTGTGTTAGCTGATAACTTACCCTGTCAGTCTGATAGGTTCATTTCTGTCTTGAAAAAAGCCAACACAGAGACACTGGCCAATGCCTTTAATCTAAAAACAGCTGTCATCACATAGGCACTCAATCAATTTGAGCAAATGGACAAAGGACCCCACATTTATTATGTCCATGTAGATAAGAAGCATCAGTAAATAATTTGTTTTTCTTACAAGGAAGCTAATATGCTAATAACAGGACTTAGTCCCTTGATGGCACATTTAGAACTGTAGTTAAACCATAATTTACAGTGGGGCAAAAAAGTATTTAGTCAGCCACCGATTGTGCAAGTTCCCCCACTTAAAATGATGACAGAGGTCAGTAATTTGCACCAGAGGTACA